ATCTAGCAAAATATCTTAGCTTCTCCTAGATTGGCCCATATATTTGTTAGCTCCATTCATTGCTAACAAGTTCGCCATGTTGTGTCTATTTAGCTCTTTGTACAGCTGTACCTACTGGTCAAACTTTGAAATACTGTCTTGCTATATAAATCTCAATACACTGTCTGATCCAGCCTGTGCTGTGGTGGGGAGATAAGAAAGGCTCTGCCAATACTCTTGCTCTATTCCCACGTTAGTGGGGGAATAAGTGAGGCTTTTAGTTTGTGCACCTATCATGAAGTCGCGTAAAACCTGCCACAGGGCTGCGTCCCCCTCAATTACACCATATTGTTGTTTGCATATTTTGTTGTGCTACCTTTTACCTGGTTGCAGCACATCTACTCTTAGTTTGAATAACAGAATAGTGACATTAATTGCTGTCTTTTATACTACCCGGAACTTGATGCAACGTTTGCTTTATTTTTATAATGCTTGCTACAATCACAGATGGGACCCATGAAAGTTTCCCGCGTCCACTAGCGTTCCCATCCTTGTATCTAAACGTCCCTAGTCACTTCATCTATGATGACGGACCAAAATGATGATTTTATTGTGACGGAAAGCTTCATATCTTTCTCTGTTTTCTTAAAGTTCCAAGTGGATGACAAGTGGTCAGAATTTAGGAATTCACAAGAAAACTTAAGAAATGGTAGAGTCAAAGGAAACTTGTCCAGTGGATGACTTTTCACACTGTTTTAGTTGTCCATGATTTTTTAGTCCTCATGGACGACCAGATGACTGCAAATATGGATTCCTGAGCACAGGAGCAATCTGATTGGTTGATTTTAGTTATTGGCTCTCTGAACTACATCCAACTTAGTTGTATAATTAATATCAATTAGAGCTGCTCATTCAACTTGTCAGGATTTTCTGTGGGGATAAGCCGGTAATCAAATAAGTATTAAAAGACCCTGGCAAATTTGATTACCTTAGGAAACTAATTAGCATCCTCCTTATGATTTCTCTCATCAATATATAGCATGGGTGCAGACATCTGCTATTCCCTTTGTTTCATGTGGAAATGGTGACATTTACACAGGTACAAAGCGCCGTTGCTGACCAAGTTCCAGTATCCTGCGGACTCTACAATCCAGGGACCAATTGTAATCCAATTGTTTGGTTGACAATGTCATCTATGCCAACTCTCCCAGATTATCCAGAAGTCTCCCAGATACAGACTTAATATCCAGGTCTCCTGTATGGGTCACCAAATGTCGCGGCTTCTAAAGAAAGTGATTCTGCCCGCCTGGTTTGACCACCTAGAAGAACGTTTATCCTATAAAAACGTTCAGTTCAAAAAGTTTTACCCTGCTGTGAAAACCTGTTGCCCTCCTGGTGAAAATTAAACCTTGGCGAAACCTCTGATCTTGTGAGAGAAATGATCTCAAAACCTTACTGCCAAAATTGGCTATCACCACTGAGTCCATGGCTCTATAGTACTTCATTCAAACTCCTCCTGGAAAAGTACACGTACAGCATTAGAACTGTAGTCCTCTTCAGTGCACTGTAGTGCCCTTCAGAACAAGAATACCAAGTTTGGAAGACCAATAAGAATAGAAAGAAAATGGCGAATGACAAGACTTTTGCCTGTCATCCCAGCTGAACTCATCGCCAAAATTTAAGCAAAATGTAAAGCATTTGGGTAATGCATTATTATTAGCAACAGCGCTTTGCAGACGTCACTATTTCCATGTGAAACAAAGCTAGGACATACATGTAGTAGACTTCTGCCCACAGGCTAGTAAATATAAGGACAAGATTTTCTCATGTATTGTTATTGAAATTTGGCATTGTTTACAAGTCTAATCACTTATTGAAGGTTTGGTCAGTCTAAGGTAAATAATTTTTCATGCAGCCTCACAATGTTCTTGCAAGACAAGTTACCTGCACTGTGCAAGAAAACTTCTCTAACACAAATGCATAGAACATTTTTGGTGCAATAAGTCTTGTTCTTGAACCAGGATTGCTTGATCCGGAGTCGAGTGCACTAACCATCAGGGCTCAAAGTTAATGACCAACTGGTCCCATATGCGACTAGATTTTTGGCTGTGCACCTAAAAAAATCATGTGTGGTCGCACCACCACACCTTGAACGCCAAAGTACAGCACAACTTCTCTAGTACTTACTCACCTGACCATACTAATGTACTCCGATTGATAAATATAAATATAAACATAGATATAACACAACCAGGTGCCAGATAATAAAGTTGCACCATTTTCTTTTCATCAGTGTGTGTTCTATTTGTCATCTTTAAGCCTATCTCCGAACTCGAACGTTCATTTCTTCCCCACGTTCTGTGTTGTAAACAACTCTGCTAACAAATGGAGGTCATAGTGCCAGGCGGTCCTAGCGGAAAGCGTGGAAACTAGGGATGAGAATTAAATCATGTGCTCGTTCTTCGTGAACAACAGTTACAGAACACTGCATTTTGTAAAGAAAGCTTTGTTTTCACTTGTCTGACACACAAAAATGGCCAGTGTTTTCGGAACAGGCTGGTCCACAAATTCTATGGCCTGAAAGCAAGCCAAATGAGCAAAGTTTGTGCTAGTTCTCACAAATACCCAGATGTTGAAAAAATCAAGAATCTTCATGAACAGAATTTCGAAGGTGAGGCAAACAACAAGTAATCAGATAGTGAGGATACTAAACGAAGCAACTTCAGTAGTTAATATGTAAGCTTAACTCTTGTGTGATTCCTTTATTTGTTTTCGTTGTGTTCAATACTACTAGAATAGGCCTATATGGCAACATGAAGCCTGAGTTGCTCTTTTGGAGCGTTAAGTATTCTTTTGGAGTAGGTGCTCCAAGTATTTGAAGCTGTGCGCTTAAAATTTTTAACTCTGTGCCTAAAATTTCGGTACTGCACCTAAAAATTTACACTTGGTCGTACAAGTGCTCCTAAAGCCAAAAATAAACTTTGAGCCCTGACCATGAGGTCACCACAGCATATATGTGCCTTAAAATAATTCTTATTATTCATACAATCATGGTAATGAAATAATATTGGATGATAGAAAACACAGTATATTGTCAGACTTACACTTGTTCACAAAACCAACTGGGCCATTTTATTAAATTTCTAGGGTGCAATCACTCTGTAATCATACTATGTTATGTATATTTAAAATAAAATGTTGTCATAAATTACCCCTTGCAACTGATTATCAAACTTCACCAAAGAAATTAGGATAATTAACTGAGATTAAAATTTATCTAGTACATGTCACACTAAGGAAAAGCAAGAGAGTACATGTAACTCATAACTAATGCAGTATGAGCAGGAAAGCAAGAAATCAACATATGCATAACTGGAAATTTGAACCTTTTAGAATGTCTAGACTAAATTATGATCATTGGCTTATTTCTTTTGGTTAAGAACACAAAATCTTGTCTGAATAAACAGAAAGTTCCAGATGCCCATTGTCATGGTTTAAGATTTTGCAGACCAGTTTGATTTTTGTTTCCCAATGTTTCAGGTTGCGGTATCAAATATGAGACAAAAAATGAAAAATCAAAATCAAACTGTTTTGAAAAATAATTTTAAATGAAAAATATTTTGGTAAATTCAAACTATAAAAGGTGATAATAATTCAAGCCAAGTGACATGTAATTACCCACTATCATGAAAGTAATTCATTACAGTTACTTTACAGTAAATTATAAAAAGAAACAAACCAGAGAAAAAACAACTGTCATTTTCAGCTGGCATGTAGAATTGGCAAGAGGCAGATTTCTAAAAACATACCAGCTACGAAAAAAATTAATCTGAAACAATAAACATTTCTGTCTTGTATCACTAGAGTACATACAGAAAAGTTGCCCTTGGCAAGTTGAAAATTTAAAACACCAAAGTGACAGGATTTACATTTATATGAAAAGAAAAATTATGAGCAAATTAAATATTCATTTGAAACTTGTTTTGGCATCCTATCAAGTCTGGTTATTATGGCAAAAATTGTGAGAGTTTTTTGAAGAAAATAAGCATTTTGACACCTGTCACATTATATTTTATTCAAACAGAATATTAATTTTAATCTTACACAACGAGTCTTGGAACAAATTAGTGCAATATTGTTTTCTTTTCCAATATATCGGCAATTTTCTAGCAAAAGAGATTTTAAAAAGTATCATTTTGACAATTTTAACAACGTGTTCTTCTTCGTAAAAGTTTTGTTAATTATGATCTGTGGTTTATGAACGGGTCATACATATGTCAATTGATAACAGCAAAATATGCGAGGGTACAATCATCTTGAAAGCTGGTCAGTTTGAATGATGTACGCTAATTCATAAAAATAGCAATCAAAATTTGTCGCGAAAAAGGTTTAGGGTCTTTTGAACGACAATCAAAAAAAAAATTGTTACCGCTGATGTGATAATTCCGAATTAAAAATTCAGAGAATTTAAAGACATCGGCGGCATAAATAATACAAAACTGAAAATATGCTAATTTTAAGTCTTGTTGCATGACGGAAAAGCAAATCGCCTAGGAGATAGATTTAAAAGACTGAAAAAACTAAGACCGTGATTAAGTCGACAGTGAATGGCAAAATACTCCAAAGTTTAATGTTTAAACCATCGCTCAAGACCGAATAGTTAACCCAAATTTGTTTGAGTTATGAAGACCATGACTTAACGTTAAATTTTAACCCTTTTAGCCAGATAAGTAACTTGTAAATTTATTCGATTTTTGCCTTGTTTGCAAACAGTGCGAATTACACAGGAAGAACTTGCCATGTTTATCTCGCTAAAATAAAATTATGACTGAAGAACAGCGCGCTGCCCTTACAGCAACACAAACCTTCTAACAAAGTCACTGTTAGCTTAAAATAGTTTTAAAAATCGAAAAATTCTTCGTCTCACGCAATCCCATAACCTCCCCAGCGGCGCGGGTTTTTCCGCGAAGTATTCGTCTATAAATAGAAACAATGGTTTAAAGTGGCTCGTCCCTTCTTTGGCTTCTTGTGGCATTAATCCCCTTTGTAGCGATTGTTTTGGCCGGAAAATAGACACAAACAAAATAAACGCAACTACACCCTAAAATCGCGACATCGACCTATACCACTTCTGTTTGTGATCGATGCAAAAACTGACTCGCTAAGACGATTTGCTGTTCAAGCCGACTTCGAACAACAGCAAGGATTTTCATAAAACTACAAGCTTCAAATGAAGATTTGTCGCAATACACAAAGCCCAAGATTTTTACCAGTTAATATACTATCTTTATCTAAATTAATATAGATCACAAAATATCGAAGTCGGTTAAATTTTTCACTGAAATACATACGTTAAATATACCGAAGATAATATCAAATTAGCTCAGAGAGGTTCGGTAAAGTTTAGGGTACCCAAAGAGCTGTAAAATTACAATTGCAACGCCCAGCGATGTCATTCGATAACATAAAAGAAAAACGGAAGAACCACAAAAACTAAATTAGAAGTAAGCTTACAGGAATAGAGTTTGAATGATGTTATAAATTACGAGCTTACCGATTCCTGCCAATACGCTCCCAATCTTTGACATGAACTACTAAATTTTCCTCCACAGAAAGCGCCTGTGTGCCTAAATCCCATTCGAATTTCTAGAGAAGATAAGCAAAAAAATATTTTCAGAGTCTGTAAAAAAATTTTGCCCTTGAGGAAAAGCCTGTAAACCATTAAGACTAAGCTAACTATAAATGACATATTAGCGGTTCTGCCGCGCGTAGAGTAAACGAAATGGCTAGCCGAGGATTGTTAACTTTACCTCGTTCCAGACTGGGTTTAATTCATCTTTTATCACCTCGGTCTTTTTCTTGACCCCTTGAAAATTAAATGAAAAAAAGGAAAAAAATGCAGTTAAACTTTAAAGGCCGACATTATTTTAACACAACCGTTTCTCGCCCGCCCCACCTCGCGCAATAAAAATTCTCGCGCATTGAGGCACGCAAAATTCAAGCTACACTCAGACCAGCTACACATCAAATACAAACCCTGAAATGTGAGCACTACATAAGGGTCGCTCTTCCCAATCGTCTCTACGTTGGGCAGATTTACTGCGCTGCTTACAGCAACCCGAAGCATGGTGGCTATATTGTTTTGATTTTGACTTCTTGAGCTTCATTCATTCATTCATTCAACCGCCATCATGCGACATGTTGTCCTGGGATCAGATAGAGCGCTTCTTGCATGACGGGAACAACAAAGAAAACTGCATAACTTAGCATAAATTATTCATTAAAGATGACAGCCGTATATTAATAATTTATGTTGGAACACCTTTGATAATGAGATTGTTAAAAGTGAAACGCAAATAAAATACTAAGTACTAGAGCAGATCTTTCGGGAAAATTTAAGAGTATCAGAATCGGTCGCGACAGCCCTGCGCGCCCAATATAAACACCGTTCTCGTCAATTATATATTTAATTCTCTCGTCCGCCCATCATTCCAACACCTTGGTCACTTTAATCAAATTTTCTTTCCTTTCTATGACTTTCCTTCTTCGGTAAAGGTCTAAAACAAGAAAACTGCAAAATCCTTGGGTACAATTCATCGTTCTGTGACCAACTATAATTAGCAGTAGAATTTACTCTGAATTTGTGGGTTCAAGAGCCCGTTTTGACTTATTCTGCCCGCTAAAAAACGCACGCAATAGTATGCAATGATTATGAGCTGAATTAAAGCAAATAACCAGCCCGCGTATACTCCATAATCTAACCTAAACATGGAAATGAACTAATAAACAAGCTCTTACAAACCAAATACATCGTGCGTGGACATACCTTGAAACGACAGCGATGCATACGGGTCGCTTAGTCCTTTCTTCTCAACATTGGGGAGGTTTGTAGCTTTAATCTCCAGCACTCTGAGGAAAGGCATCTTGGCTCGACTAAACTTGAGCTTATGTGTTCAAAAGTAGCTCGTAAACCATGAAAACAGCAAAAAAGCTAGCCAAACCGAACTGAACCAACACCCAAGATCCCACCGAAGGTTTTATAAACCCTCGGAACGTGCGGATATCGCCTTCACGGTCTGTTGCATTTTTGTCACGTTAATTGTGCCCAGATGAATGACCCCGGAATTGGAACTCAATACTGTATTTTTAAAATAAAAATCACGAACCGTGACTATTGAAACCTTTTCAAGTGTGTCATACACGGTTTAGCCGATCGCCAAGGGAGAACGTCGCTACTGGAGGTGTCGTGTATCCCATGTCTTAGCAATTTTCAAATTTTCAAAATGGTTTTAACTGGCCCTCCACCTAACCTAATCTAGCCTGTAGCCTGCGAACGCAGACGTGTATCCGGCGCATGAAACAAGAGCCCAAAAATCCGAATTCTCTATCTAGCAGGCTACCCTTCACCAGACTCCTGCTTGTTTTCTTTGCGACATTTTTTACAGGATTAAAAACGGCACCTGATCATTTGCGAAAAGGTCAATAACTCATGAAAAAGTCAAGGTAAACGCACAGTCTCTGTGTGCCCCTCCCTAGCTTTTTTTATTATTTTCTCCGAACGCGAAGACCGCGGCGCTTAGTTTAACCCCGCAGGGCTTGTATCTGAATATCCCGGGGCCGCCGAGCCGGAAATGTTCAAGTTTCAATTCAAGGAGAGTGTGGCCGGTTGAGAGGCAGATGTGCAGAGGTCTTCGCTACTTCTCACTTGATTTCTTTTTACGAATATCGAAGCTTACTTTTCTAAAGTCTTTTTAACTCGATCTTTCAGTTTTAAGCTCGTATTTCCTAACTGATTGCCACACAGCTCTTTTTACGATAATTCTGGGACATTAGTCACTCAGCCTAAAGACCAGAAAAAAGCCCCTTTCGGGGGCCGAAACCTCCCCGTTTTGTCCATTATAGTTAAGATAAAGTCTGCAAACGAGCCAGTTAGCCCATCAGGCCTGAGCATATCCTGGTTTCTGTTGCATGAAGCGACTAGGAGTATTTCTACTCCCCCTAGATGGGATGCTAGTCTATTGCAACGTTACCCCAGCATTAAGTTATAGTCCTGGCTCGGTGGAGAGAGGCACTGTGAGAGTGAAGTGTCTTGCCCAAGAACACAACACGATGTGCGCCTCAGCCAGGGCTCGAGCCCGGACCGCTCGATCCGTAGCAAAGAGTACTAATTTTACATTGTTTTTGCGGTTATGTAAATCACTAGTGATGTTGAAAAGTACTTTCGAAAAGCTTCCTATTGTAATGAGTTGTGCTGCTTCTTGTAAAAGTGGGGCTACTGTTTTGATGAGATTTCCCGTGTAAAATAGATTTCAAGGCACAATTGAGAATGCTGTACAGCATGTTGCGCAATTGAAAATCAAATGTCCCAGAACATAATTAAACAACTTGGAATACACAATGAGTTGCACGAAGCATATTGGTCTTGTAGTCGGGAGAGGATTTTTTTCTCAGATTTGCTTATATTCCTGATTTTTTGGCGGATTCCAGATTCGTCACACAATGCGTCTGGGTCACGCTACAATTTTTTATTGGGACTGTTGGGTGATGATTTGGAGGGGACCCAGGGAGGGACAAAGGAATTACGACTGATTTTACCCAACATCATTTTATTTTTTTCTTCTTTGCTTTGAAACAACTTTACAACGCCTCAGTTACGTGTCGCACGCTTGCAAGATTCTCCTTATTCTCAGCGAGGCAAATGAAACTTACAAAAAGGAAAATCGATCTCCCTTCACCGAATGAAATAAATGTCTGTCTTAGCCCCTGGCAACCTACGTTTTGCTAATTCTCTTCAGTTAGCTCTGTTGATTTTTCTCTTGACGTAATTTCTCTTCTTTCACCAAAACGCTGCCGTATATTTGAGTGAAATTGCCTTTGCAATAATATCCCCTCAGTTTAACCTACTTTAAGTTAATTTAAACCCCAAGTGGCGTAAAATAGAAATCATGGTTTTCTGTGGTTCTTTCTCTGAGGTCGCTGCTACAGTTACTTGAGCCAGACTGTCAAGTGAGGGGACTGGTGATTGTATGCTTTGTTCGGCCAATCAGAATCGCTGCTGGGACTGTCGAAGCCATCACTCTGTGACCAGCCACGCGCAGTGGACCCTTTAGCCATGAACCCCACAGCCATGCAATAATCATTAGGAGCAGTGTTCCCAGCAGGTGTATAAGAGGCGTAAGGGTACGAACCTCCATGCGAACCAGCAGGCATGATCCCGAACTTGTTCTGGTAACAGATCTGCAAGAAAAAAAAAAAAAAAGAGAAATAGAACATTACATATCAGCGAAGGTTTGTGCTTATACTTATTTTAGACAATGACGTCTTTGCTGGAAAATGGAAACGCCTTAAAATACTACGCAGAGTCCATGAAAAAACAAAGGTAATTTTGAAGTGTCTGTACATATCTCTATTACCTTTTTGTTGCCATTCCAGGCATACACCATGACGGGTGTCTTAACCGCTGCATTAACAGTGGACTGCCCAACAGAGTGATTCCATTGCAAGTTCTTTTCTCTGTCTCCAGGCAGCCTCCACATCACCCACTTGCTCCCCAAGCCATCCATCCGCTCACCGCTGGACAACAGAATCGAGGACGCTTCCTCCACCGCCAATCTGCGCGAGTCAATACAGGCGTACTCTTTCTGTTTCGTGATCTTCGGTGTTTTCAGCGCAGCAGTGTTGTAGTTGGAGACCAGTCATGTCTTGTAAATATTGCCAACTTTTCCGCTGATTTTTCCCACAAGAGTCCAGCCACCATTTGCCATGTCACAGTACGTCTGCACTGATGAACTTCCTTGCAAGTCAGTCTTGATCCAGTAGATGCCATTTTTGGCGCGTGGTTTGTTGTTCACCAGACTTGCATCATGGATTTGTTTGCACGAATCAGCGGGAAGTTTCTTTTCACCCAAAAGACTACTTTGGCTGAGGTGGCCTGGTCGAGAGATGCCAAGAGTTATGTTTGGAGGACTGGCAACTAGGAGTCTCACTTTGATGTTGTCGTAAAGAGTTTTGCAGTTATTGGGAGACTTATGGCAGCCTAAGCCTAAGGTTCCAGCAGGTATTTTCCATTCGCTGTCCACCTGTACATTATTGTGCACCTGTTTATCATTCGCCCATTGGGAAAACCTGTCGCCGAGCACTTGATACTTGAAATGAAACCAAGTATTGATAGTGAAGGCTGTGGGTAACTTGCTATTGTATTTCCATCCGCCATCTTTGTTGTTGACCTGGGGTCTCATGGTACAAAGATCGCTGTTCGATGCGACATATTCAAACCACCAAGCCGTGGTTTTGCTGTGGTCCACATTGTTTACGCGAAGTAACGGCCCGGGAGCACTGTTCTTGGCCCCAGTCTCCATCATGTCAAACTCTACCTCATAATCTTTCCACTGAAATCCTGACTTAACATACAGTCCGACTTCTACATAATTTCTAATGTTTTCTCGCATAGTGTCTCCAAGCAGTCGTCCATTTTGCACGCTCCATTTGCGTAATTGTTTGTCGCCCATTCTTTCTTCAGGACAGAGCTCGAGAAATCGTCGTGAAAGACGTACACATGGTCAGGGTTATCCATGGCGCTTCCGCTGACCGCACCGCCAAACACTAGAAAGTAAGAGGAGTCATCAACAGTGTTGGCTGACATGGGAGCCTGCAGTCTGAACTGGACAGAAGCTGACTTTGTTCCCAGGCCACTGAGGATGCGGTCGATTTGAGCGGGGTGCTGCCCGTTGGCATAATAATATACTTGCAAGTCATCTCCATTGTCACGTGTTAATCCATGATCTATCAGTTCGCGATGGTTAACTAGGGAAATGAAAATTAAAAGAAATATCTGTGGCTTTTCTTAAGTAGAGAATTTTTAATTTGTTTCTATCAGAACACGTTTCGACTAAAATGTAGTGCATTGGTTTAACTGGCCATAACTTGGGCTCTGTGACATAATCTACAGTTGAGTCGCGATTTTCGTAACTGGAAAACATGACTAAGTCGTCCTGAAAATTGAAATAACTTAACTTTGCTGAAAAAAGCAAAAACTGCATCTAGTGAGAGCTGATGATGACTGATGATTAAAGTGCATTGAAAATCTCAATTCAGCTGACTGATGGCAAAACGTAGTGGAATTAAAACAACAACAACGAAAAAAACTGCTGACAAAAATCGCAACTTCATGGCACTACTGTTAGTTCCTTGATAAAGACTACCAACGCATTCCATTTTCACTTTGATATTTCAACGGCAGTTGCTAGGACAGAAATATGTCATATGGATCAAAAGTTCTTACCTGGAACACTTATGGTGTAAAGTTTCGGTAGAGAGGATCGTTTTGTCTCAATTCTCATTGGTATTTTGCCTCCTTGTTTGGTTTTAAAACAGTATTGATACCCGCTCGAAGCATTACCCTTTATCAGTTTATCCAAAAGATGTTGTACCGGTTTCAGCAAGGCGATCTCTTCTCCAGTGATTCGAGCCAGCTTCTCGGCGTCCTTTTGCATAACAGTGGCCAGCGTTTTCTTCTCGTTAAAAGTGTTTAAATCGAGAGTTAACTTGTAAATCAGGGAATCAATCTGACTTTTGGCGCGGTAGACGTCGCCATGCTTGGTTGGTTGGTTTTTTCGGGTCACTTTTTTTCCGAGTGTGACTTGAGACTGACTGGAAAAGTACAATATTGCGGTCAAAATAGCGAGAAGGCTTAGCGTGTAAGCCATTCGACGCAGGATTAATTGCAGTACGCAAGATTAAAACAGCGTTACACTGTTGTTCGGTTCTTTGTTAAGAAAGACTGACAGAGCGCATTACACTCTACTGACATAAATGATTAGATGTGCAAGTTATTTTTCGTGAAATGTATATATGGTACGATTCGCACGAATGGTAAAGTATAAAAGAAACTGTCAAATTTGAGTCCTTTGTTGTGTTGATACAAAAGGATCACGTTAGTTAGTGCGTTGTGCGACAATTCATTGAATCTCTTCTTCAGCGGTAAAGAAGAAGAAGAAAAAAAAAAAAACGGCAGAAAAAATATTATCGAGACTCAGAGTTAAAACCACTCTGTTAATGTAGTCGCTGATCTGATATAAATTT